GCATAAAATTCATTAGGAAAATATAGTTCCTTAGTTTTATTATTATTATACAATTGATGTCTATTCGTACAAGCATTATTTCGTTTGGTTAGGCCAACCTTACAGAATTAGGCAGATCATAGATTGCTATTAACAGTCATCCACATTTGGATCTCTGGTTAATGCATAATTAATTTGATTTCTAATCGATACACGTAACAAAAGTTTGACTAGCGAATCATGCATTGATACATATACAAATACAAAGGTATACAATATAAGAAAGAAAAATGATTAATTATATTTAAGTATGATTAGAATTAATTAGAAGTATAAAAAATTTAACAATGCTAAATAGGATACAGTCACTGATTAAGTACTGACAGATTCTATTAAAAGTAGAATATCTGTAGGTATGCAACATACTGAAATGGTTCATACACACATTTCAATATAATTATACTATAAGCGCATTCTTTGGTCTTTTTATCTAGTATTCAGTATTATTAGAAATGCAGTCTTTCACAACTCTATAAATCATTATTCGATAAAATGAACTTCCTCGAAAGAACCAAGAATATTATCTATACAGCTATAAGAAATCAGAAGATAAAATACTACAGAAAACAGGAATCATTTCAGTGCATACTTTTAGAAATTTAATAGAGTTTGATACAGTAGTAAAAAATGAAAAAATTTGCTATTGACTTATACATATATATGTATGTATATATATATATATTTATTCCTAACAATATGTATATAGTAAATTTCATTTATCCAGTTCAATAACATGAATATCTTCTCCACTTGTTTACATAATTGTCTATTCACTTTCTTCAATTATTTTATAAATCTTACAATAAAATCTTTTTACACACTTCGATGATCTTACAATAAAAATTATATAGCGAAGGATAAGAGAGACAATTGCATTCATATATAAATCATGATTAAATGCATGGGCACGTAATGAATTCTCGCGAATCGTTTAGGATAAGTAACGGTTCCCGTTATGTATCCACTGGCATACTGTACGTTCGCATATTTACACCGCAATTTAATTAAAAATCGTAACCGAACTAAACGAACACAAATAATCATTTCGTTCGACGTCGTTTAACATTCAAGGTTGAACGGTTCCATGCCAGCAGCACGACCCGCGAAAAATAGACTATTTAAACATGGCTGACACGTAACTTCAATGCTAAATCGTATTGCATCAATCAGGATAACAAGCTTCCCTAAAAATGAGTGACGAGTATGAACAAAAAATAGACCGTTCAAGAATGTTCGTGTATGTCCACCTCTATTGAACAATTAACAAAAATGTATCAATTTCATGTACAATATACAACCTCGATCTAAAAAAGGAAACGTTGATCGTGGATACACATTTCGATAATTTCTACAAGAGAAATAGAAAGCACGCAAAGTAACGTTTCTCGCTGTTCTTTTCCGTTAGTCTATCCGATGTCTGAACATAAACAGACTTGTTCCCCACACATACACACAGTGTTCGTCGCTGTATATGCGCATGCACGAAAGCACAGAGAAAAAACATTTGCGAAGACTTCTGAGGTTAAGAGTATTTATCGACGCGTGAACACACGAGGATTCACTTCGATCGAATTTTCTTCGACCGCGAGGACGCGGAGGATCGTCGCGAGGACTTCTCGTTCGCGGACCGCGAGTTCACCCTCTTTTCCACATAGTCCCTCACGTAGCAGATGAATTCCGATAGCGCGGTGGACGTGGATCTATCCACGAGACCTTGCGGTAGCCAACCCTTCAAGTCAGTATGCATCATCAACGTGAACTTGCATTTCTTCTGGTCCCGCAGAGCTTCTGTCGCGCAACAGCTGACGATGCTCTCGGCCCTACGCAATAGAAAATAAATAGATAAATAAGTAAGAAAACAAATGAAATAAATTAGTATTTTAAACACTAAGTTTTGTAATCTGACCGAACAACATTCTTGGGACTCGGCAACATCGGTGTAGACATCGACGAGCCAGTGATGATGTAGTATTTGTCGTAATGCATACGATGTCTTACAATGACAAAATCTCGCGCGCCGATCAAGCCACCGCCATGGGGACTCGTGATTTGATGAACGACATCCGTGTTGTTATCGATATTCTAGTCAACAAATGAACACGGGATTGAGTAAAGTGAAAAAAAACGTTAGCGAAGTTAGAGGGAATTTATAACGGAGAATGATACGTCACTTGTATCCTGCTGCACTTCGTGATCAATTTATTCCACGACGGCGACGACTCGATCTCATCGAATAATAGATTTATTAATAAATCGGCCGGAGCGTTGACGACTCCCTGAAATTCAATTTAGAAGATCACTTCACAAGTGCTACGTTGATTCGGTATTTACATGAAATTGACAAATGACTGTTTAATCAACGTCTACGTGTTGATCAACTCACCACTATCTTTCGTAGCACCCCTTTCGGCTCAGAACGGTTCATGTAATAGATGACGTCACCGTTGGTCATCTCATTTTCGGTGTGCCAATGCTGGGACGCTAACAAACTGAAACAATTTCTCACTACTCCGTACAGTCTCACCACATCTTCTTCTACCTATACAAAATTCGAAAAAAATTACTTCAGAGAGACTTTGACGGAAGTGTTTACGTTTATTCGCGCCATAGAATTGTTAAACAAGTATCGCCGACTCGCTGTGTGTAAAGTAAATTTCTTACTCACCAACTTATCAGAATCGATGGACGGATAACATTTGGAAATGTCTATTTTAGTGTGATCATCTTCCGGCTACGAAATTTAAAGGAGATTACTTGAGAGAGACTTCGATGAATGCACTGACGTTCGCTTGTGGCTATTAGTTGTTAACCTTTAGAGGACCGGCAGAGCATTGTATATGCATATTTTCTATATGTTATTTATATGCATATTTTCTATATGTCTTATAAAAGTATGCCGATCCTCTAAAGCAGGGCTTCTCAAGCCTTTTCAGTTGGGGACACCCTTTATCCAAACAAATATTTCCGCGACCTTGGATATACTCACAAACATACTATACGTGTAATATTGTCAAACAGGTTTTGAACTAACTTTCAGTCGTTGGGTGTCCAGGAATTTTTTAGTTTTCCTGAGATTTCTGCGACTCCTATACAGGGTCGCGATTCACACTTTGAAAAGCCTTGCTCTAAAGGTTAAGCAATGATACTGGCTCCTGATGTACAGCGTAAGCTTTTCACTTACCGACTTGCCAGTATCGATGGACGGATAACGTATGGAAGCATCAGCTCTTTTCGCATCCTCGTCGTCGTTATCCGAACCCGATTGCTCAGGCGAATCTATGGGAGTGAAGAAGTAACCGGTCGGCTCACTGCCGGTGTACTGCGCCGTGTCCACGTTGTTTGGCCGCAGCAGCGGTTCCCTCTCACTGAAATCTGCAGATGAAAATGGAGATTTCTATTTGCATCCTCCAAAGTTCTTGAGAACTGGATTATCAAAGAGGACGTTCCGTACTTCGGAACCAATTTCTAGCCTGCGTCTCTTGCGGCAACACACGGATGTCGAAGAACCACGCCTCCATCCATGGCAACACGAAAGACGTGAGGATGAGGAGGACTGCGAACACCGGTTGATTGTACTTCGACCACTAAAAACGAAGCCTCTGTGAATGGTAATTTTCATTCGGGATCGGTTAAAAGCGTGCACCACTTACATCGAAGAGAAACACTTTGGCGATCAGGAAGCAACACGTGGTGGCGGTTGTTAGCTGTAACAAGAGGCACGATCATATACTTCTTTCTAGAATACAATGAGAAATCGATGTTACTCACAGATACGATCACCCAGTGGTTCCAACGAAGCAACGCGTAGAAGAGCAACAACACCGTGTATCTGCAAACCGCTGCCATCTGAGAAGACGGAATTCGTATAATCTGTGCCCACGAGGAACAGCGCGCAAAAAATCAAGGCGTTGCGTGCAGCGAACGTCGAAATTTCATTCCGATGTTTTTCAAATTGAAAATAAAAATTTAACATCTTGATATATACAATTTTTCTTTTATGAAAGTTTTGTGAATCGTGGTTTTTGAATGTTTAAACGGTTCCATTTAGTGTTTCTTAAATTCTGATTTCTCTGATTCGGTTGTTTTTCCGAATTTCGCATCTTTGACGCCTCAATTTTAATTTGCGCTCCTACAAAACGGCTTGTTTTAGTCGCGCGACTACTCACCACAATGTCAAACAGCGAGGACTTGATGTAATAATGGATTACTTGATTAACAAAGGCCGACTCCAGACTTTCGCCAGCGGTCTGCAACAAGTTTCAAGTGAAACGTTCGAACTCATAGATTAACCCTCTGGCTTCGGATTTCTTTAATAATAATAAACTAACAAATTTACAGTAAATCTACATTTGCTATAAACGTTTTTATAATAGAATATTATTCACGTTCTACCGATTAGAACGAAATAATAATACCCATATTTATAAAACCCAATTTCAATTCTTCATCTTCTTAACTCAATATTAACAAGACAAGGGGTTCAATTTGTAAATCAACGATTCTATTTCCTTTTCTCTTATTTCTTTTTCTGGAGTTTCGTTCGAACACACGGACAATTACCATCGTGCAAATGAGCCACAAGAGAAATGTGAGCAGGAGGTCGAAGGTGACGAAAAGACAAAATGAACGCCTGACGTTCGACATTCTCCCGTTTTGCATTTCACCCGCGATTAGATCCTCGCTAATAATGATGTCCGGGGTGCGCGTCACGCTCGCTTGAGTGTACGAACTTCTTTGAGAGTTTATGGATCCGCTGAGCAAGGTTTCCGCAATCGCTCTAACAGTTTGCCTCTCGTCCTCAGCCATCCTACCAGGCTTACCTCCCTTTGATATCCGCGGCGACGGATCTGAAAATAGCAATCGCCACACGGGTTAGTACCATCACCAACGAATAATAACGATACGCAAACCGATACATTCCGAGGATATTACCAT